TCACGGCTCCACTATCACGTTGCCCTTTGTGCACAGCTTAGGTAACCGAAGCCTTGTTCGCCTGCAGTATGAGGAGGAGAGAATGAGACACTAAGCCCTTTGGGAGATTTTAATCTTATGAAATAAGGATGATGTTGCGATTTGCAGATTTCAGAAACTTTGGCACTGAGCCTGTATAAAGAGACCGGTCTGAGATGGCTGTAGTTATTCTTTATTACTACTTTTTATTTATTTATTTATTTATTTATTTATTTTGTTTATTCTGTGGTTAACTTGAGGGATCATCATCGTGGGCAAAATTCCACATAACAATAAAAATAGCCTCCTCTTCCTCCCACGCCTCCTTTTCCCCACGGCCTCCTCTTCCCTTCCCACCGGCTCTCCTCTTCCTCCAACCGGCCTCCTTTCTTTCCCACCGGCCTCCTCTCCTCCACGCGCCTCCTCTTCCTCCCCACCGGCCTCCTCTTTCCTCTCCACCGCGCCTCCTCTTCCTCCCAACGCGCCTTCCTCTTCCTTCCACTCGGCCTCCTTCTTCCTCCACGTGGCCTTCCTCTCCTCCCACTGGCCTCCTCTTCCTCCCACCGGCCTCCTCTTCCTCCCACCGGCCTCCTCTTCCTCCACGGCCTCCTCTTCTCCCACGGCCTCCTCTCTCCACCGGCCTTCCTCCTCCCACCTCGGCCTCCTCTTCCTCCCACCTGGCCTCCTCTTCCTCCCAACGGCCTCCTCTCCTCCCAACCGGCCTCCTCTGTCCTCCCACCGCCTTCCTCTTCCTCCCACGGCCTCCTCTTCATCCTACTGGCTCTCCTCTTCCTCCCCACCGTCCTCTGTCTTCCTCCCCCGGGCCTCCCTTCCTCCCACTGGCCTTCTTCTTCCTCCCACTGGCCTCCTGCTTCCTCCATCTGGCCTCCTCTTCCTCCCACTGGCCTCCTCTTCCTCCCACCGGCCTCTTCTTTCCTCCACCGCCTTCCTCTTCCTCCCACCGGCTACCTCTTCCCCACCGTCCTCCTCTTCCTCCCCACTGGCCTCCTTCTTCCTCCCACCGCCTCCTTCTCACGCCACTGGCCTCCTCTTACCTCCTCACTGGCCTCCTCTTTCCTTCCACGGCCTCCTCTTTCCTTCCACTGCGCCTCCCTTCTCCCCAGCTGCCTCCTCTCCTCCCACCGCCTCCTTCTTCCTCCCACTGGCCTCCTCATTCCTCCCGACTGGCCTCCTCGTCCTCCACTGGCCTTCCTCTTCCTCCCACTGGCCTCCTCTTCCTCTCCCACTGGCCTCGCTCTTATCCTCCCACCTCGGCGGCCTCCTCTTTCCTCACCACTCGGCCTCTCTTTCATCCTTACTGCGCCTGCCTCTTTCCTTTCCCACTCGGCCTTCTCTTCTGCCCACCGGCCTCCCTCTTCCTCCCACTCGGGTCCTTCTTTCTTCCTCCCACTGGCCTTCCCTCTTCCTCCCACTGGCCTCCTCTTATTCCTCCCATGGCCTCCCTCTTTCCTCCACCGCCTCCTCTTCCCTCCCACCGGCCTTCCCACCGGCCTCCTCTTCCTGCCCACCGGGCCTCCTCTCTGTCCTCTTTTCCACCTGGGCTGGTGTCCTCCTCTTTCCTCCCACTGGCCTCCTCTCCTCCACCGGCTCCTCTCCCACTGGCCTCCTTTGCCTCCCACCGGCCTCCTTCCTCTCTGTAGCTTCCTCCCACTGCCTCCTCTTCCTCCCACTGGTCCTCTTCCTTTCCTCTTCCTTCCCTCTTCCACCGGCCTCCTCTTCCTCCCACCGGTTCCTCTTCCTCCCACGGCCTGCCTCTCCTCCACCGGCCTCTCCTCCTCTTACCCCTCCTCTTCCTCCCACTGGCCTTCCTCTTCTCCCACCGGCCTCCTCTTTCTCCCACTCGGTCCTCCTCTTCTCCCACTCGGCCTCCTCTTCCTCCCACTGGCCTCCTCTTCTCCCACTGGCCTCCTCCTTCCTCCACTGCCTAGGCCCTCTCTTCCCCTCGCCTCCTCTTTCCTCCCACCGGCCTCCTCTTCCTCCACCGGCCTCCTGCTTCCCTCCCCCGGGCCTCCTCTTCCTCCACCGGCCTCTCTCTTCCTTCCCACTGGCCTCCTCTTCCCCCACTGGCCTCCTCTTCCTCCTTCCTCACCCGTCCTCTCCTCCCACTGGCCTCCTCTCTTCCTCCCACCGGCCTCCTCTTCCTCCCACCGGCCTCCTCTCTTCCCTCCCACTGGCGCCTCCTCTTCCTCCCTACCTGGCCTCTCTTTCCTCCACTGGCCTCCTCTTCCTCCCCACTGGCCTCCTCTTCCTCTGCCTCCTCTTCCTCCCATCCGGCCTCCTCTTCCCCACCGGCCTCTCTTCCTCCACCGGCCTCCTCTTCCTCCCACTGGCCTCCTCTTCCTCCCCACTGGCCTCCTCTTCCTCCCCACTGGCCTCCTCCCTCCCACCGGCCTTCCCTCTTCCTCCCACCGGCCTCCTCTTCCTCCCACCCCCCTCCTCTTCCTCCCACTGGCCTCCTCTTCCTCCCCCACTGGCCTCCTCTTCCTCCCACTGGCCTCCTTCTCCCCATGGCCTCCTCTCTCTTCTCCCACTCTCTTCTCCCCTCCTCCTCTCCACCACTGCTCCTCTTCCTCCCCACTGGCCTCCTCTTCTCCCACTTCCTCTTCCTCCCCACTGGCCTCCTCTCTTCCTCCCACCGGCCTCCTCTTCCTCCCACCGGCCTCCTCTTCCTCCCCACCGGCCTCCTCTTCCTCCTCCTCACGGCCTCCTTTCCTCCCACTGGCCTCCTCTTCTCTTGTTCCTCCCGACCAGGCCTCTCTTTTCCTCCCTCCTGCGCCTCCTCTTCTTCTACCGGCCTCCTCTTCTGGCCTCTCTTCCTCCCCGGCCTCCTCTTCTCTCCTGCCTCCTCTTCTTCCTCTTCACTTCCCACTGGCCTCCTCTTCTCCCACCGGCCTCCTCTTCCTCCCACCGGCCCTCCCTCTTCCTCCCACCGGCCTCCTCTTCCTACCACGGCCTCCTCTTCCTGCCCCACCGGCCTCCTCTCCTCCCACCGGCCTCCTCTTCCCCCACTGGGCCTCCTCTTCCTCCCCACCTGGCCTCCTCTTCCTCCCACCGGCCTCCTCTTTCCCACCGGCCATCCTCTTCCCTCCACCGGCCTCCTCTTCCTCCCACCGGCCTCCCTCTTCCTCCCACTGGCCTCCTCTTCCTCCCACTCCTCTTCCTCCCACTGGCCTCCTCTTCCTCCCACTGGCCTCCTCTTCCTCCCACTGGCCTCCTCTTCTCCCACCGGCCCCTCTTCCTCCACGGCCTCCTCTTCCTCCCACCGGCCTCCTCTTCCTCCCACGGCCTCCTCTTCTCCCACCGGCCTCCTCTTCCTCCCACCGGCCTCCTCTTCCCTCCCACCTGGCCTCCTTTCCTCCCACCGGCCTCCTCTTCCTCCACTGGCCTCCTCTTCCTCCCACTGGCCTCCTCTTCCTCCCACGGCCTCCTCTTCCTCCCACGGCCTCCTCTTCCTCCACCGGCCTCCTCTTCCTCCCACGGCCTCCTCTTTCCTCCACCGGCCTCCTCTTCCTCCCACCGGCCTCCTCTTCCTCCCACCGGCCTCCTCTCCTCCTTTCCTCCCACTGGCCTCCTCTTCCTCCCACTGGCCTCCTCTTCTCCCACTGGCCTCCTCTCCTCGCCTCCTCTTCCTCCCACTGGCCTCCTCACTGCCTCCTTTCCTCCCACCGGCCTCCTCTTCCTCCACCGGCCTCCTCTTCCTCCCACTGCCTCCTCTTCCTCCCACCGGCCTCCTCTTCCTCCCTGGCCTCCTCTTCCTCCCACTGGCCTCCTCTTCCTCCCACTGGCCTCCTCTTCTCCACCGGCCTCTCTTCCTCCCACGGCCTCCCTCTCCCTCCCACCGGCCTCCTCTTCCTCCTCCTCTTCCTCCCACTGCCTCCTCTCCCACTGGCCTCCTCTTCCTCCCACTGGCCTCCTCTTCCTCCCACTGGCCTCCTCTTCCTCCCACTGGCCTCCTCTTCCTCCCACCGGCCTCCTCTTCCTCCCACCGGCCTCCTCTTCCTCCCACTGGCCTCCTCTTCCTCCCACCGGCCTCCTCTTCCTCCCACTGGCCTCCTCTTCCCCACCGGCCCCTCCTCCACTGGCCTCCTCTTTCCTCCACCGGCCTCCTCTTCCTCCCACTGGCCTCCTCTTCTCCCACCGGCCTCCTCACCGCCTTCCTCTTCCTCCCACTGGCCTCCTCTTCCTCCCACCGGCCTCCTCTTCCTCCCACAAACAAATGAATATGCTGAAGGCCTTTTCGTGTGTTTTTTCCATTCCTAACGTGCTTGCTTTGCATTAAAATAAAGCGGCTTCAATTCTGCAATTGCCTGGAATAAGATATCAGATGTTATTATGATAAGAGTAGGTATTATTTATTATTATTATTATTACTTGTTATAATTACGTATTACTTATTCTTGATATTTGTTGTTACTATTGTTATTGTTATTGCCATTGTCATTGTTATTAGTATTAATATTATTATTGTTTTTATCATCATTGTTCTTCTGTATGCTGCTGTTGTGAAGCAGGAATAACATTAACATTAGTGTTTGTCATCACTCTGTCATGGTTAAAAATGTGCGACGTCGCTTGCGTGAGTGTTTTGCCCTGTGTATGGAGGTAAAATGTATATTAAATTAATCCCTAGATGTGTGAAGTTTAGAAATCGCTCGGATATTTTTCCTTCGATGTTCAAGGGGAAGATTAGCAATTAGTTTGCCATGCAACGCCATGCAAACATCTCCGGTGTAGAAGCTCGGAGTCGTAATGGCAGGAACAGTAGAGTATGAGCAATATTGTTAATGGTAGGCGTCGTAACGATACCACCAGAAGTATTGTTTGTAAGTAAGTGTAAAAATAACCTGTTAATTTCACCAGGTCCAACTGTTGATGATGTTGCCCCTAGAATTCAAGTGTTATGTGTTCTGAGGGACTTAGGATAGGTGCAAGCTCCTAGCCCGCTCCCGTTCGTGTTCCAGAATGAGCGGACGCGAGCCGAGTTGGAGCAGCTGGTGCGGCGGGGCGACGTGGCCCAGCTGGAGAAGATCATGGTGCACCGCATGGTGTTTGGGACGGCGGGTCTGCGGGGTCGCATGGGCGCCGGCTACGCCCTCATGAACGACCTCGTCATCATCCAGACGTCGCAGGTGCGGTCCTTCGCCTGCGCCGCCGCGACGGGTTCTTGGCGGCAGGACAAGCGCAGCCCTGGATGGCATTTTGTGAACGCATATATGTGTAATATATATATATATATATATATATATATATATATATATATATATATATATTATATATATATATAATGCGCGTGTGTGTGTGTGTGTTTATGTGTATATACGTGTGTGTATGTGTGTATACGCGTGTGTGTGTGTATGTGTGTGTGTGTGTGTGTGTGTGTGTGTGTGTGTGTGTGTGTGTGTGTGTGTGTGTGTGTGTGTGTGTGTGTGTGTACGTGTGTGTGTGTGTACGTGTGTGTGTATGTACGTGTGTGTATGTGTGTATGTATGTGTATATACATGTGTGTGTATGTATGTATGTATGTGTATATACGTGTGTGTGTGTGTGTGTGCACATGTGTGTGTATGTATGTATATGTGTGTGTGTGTGTGTGTGTATGTATGTATGTATGTATGTATATGTATATACGTGTGTGTATGTATGTATATATGTGTATATACGTGTGTGTGTATGTATATGTGTATATACATGTGTGCGTATGTATGTATATATGTGTATATACGTGTGTGTATGTATGTATATGTGTGTATATATGTGTGTGTGTATGTGTGTGTGTGTGTATATACATGTGTGTGTATGTATGTATATGTGTGTGTGTGTGTGTGTATGTATATACATGTGTGTATGTATGTATATATGTGTATATATATGTGTGTGTGTATACATGTTTGTGTATGTATGTATATGTGTGTGTGTGTGTGTGTGTATACATGTGTGTGTATGTATATGTATGTGTGTGTGTATGTATGTATATGTGTGTGTGTGTGTGTATGTATATATGTGTATATACAGGTGTGTATGTATGTATATATGTGTATATACGTGTGTGTGTATGTATGTATATGTGTGTATATACATGTGTGTGTGTGTGTGTGTGTGTGTGTGTGTGTGTGTGTGTGTGTGTACATGTGTGTGTGTGTACATGTGTGTTATGTATGTATATGTGTGTGTGTGTACATGTGTGTGTATGTATGTATATGTGTGTGTGTGTATGTATATATGTGTATATACATGTGTGTATGTATGTATATATGTGTATATACGTGTGTGTGTATGTGTGTATGTGTGTATGTGTATATGTATGTGTGTGTGTGTATATATATGTGTGCATTTATGTGTGTGTGTATGTATGTATATGTGTGTATATACGTGTGTGTGTATGTATGTATATATGTGTATATACGTGTGTGTGTATGTATGTATATATGTATATATGTGTATATATGTGTGCATGTATGTATGTATATGTGTGTATATACATGTGTGTGTATGTATGTATGTATATATGTGTATATACATGTGTATACACATGTGTGTACATGTGTATACATGTGCGTGTACATGTGTATACACGTGCGTGTACATGTGTATACACGTGCGTGTACATGTGTATACACGTGCGTGTGTACATGTGTTGTACACGTGTGTACATGTGTGTGTACATGTGTATACACGTGCGTGTACATGTGTATACACGTGCGTGTACATGTGTATACACGTGCGTGTACATGTGTATACACGTGCGTGTACATGTGTATACACGTGCGTGCTGTGTATACACGTGCGTGTACATGTGTATACACGTGTGTACATGTGTATACACGTGCGTGTACATGTGTATACACGTGCGTGTACATGTGTATACACGTGCGTGTACATTGTGTATACACGTGCGTGTACATGTGTATACACGTGCGTGTGTACATGTGTATACACGTGCGTGTACATGTGTATACACGTGCGTGTACATTGTGTATACACGTGCGTGTACATGTGTTATACACGTGCGTGTACATTGTGTGCGTGTACATGTGTATACACGTGCGTGTACTTGTGTATACACGTGCGTGTACTTGTGTATACATGTGCGTGTACTTATGTATACACGTGCATGCACGTGTGGGCACGTGTGTATACACGTGTGTGCACATGTGTATACACATATACAAACACATGTGCACTCATATGTGTATATCAATTTATTTACTAATTATTGTTTACTCTACAGGGATTCAGCAAGTACTTGGGGAAGGTCAATCCAGAATCCAAGACAAAGGGAGTTGTAATTGGACATGACAGCCGTCACAATAGCCACAGGTAAGACGTTTATATATAAATACCTATCTCTATCTCTATCTCTATCTCTATCTCTATCTCTAACTCTAACTCTAACTCTAACTCTAACTCTAACTCTAACTCTAACTCTAACTCTAACTCTAACTCTAACTCTAACTCTAACTC